ATGTATTGCATATGTGAAATTAAATTTGTAATGTTTGTATGAATGACACTTGTATTTCAGATCAAAATAATATGTGGCAAAAGTACAGTCTTTCAGCTTTTGTTTCTGGGTTTTATTTTGCAAAAGTGTTTAGCTCTTTGAACAATAAATTGCTGTTTGAACAATAAATTGCATTTTTCTGTCTCCCCATTTCAGATGAACACTAGTTTTGGGACAATTTACTAACAATTTTTGATGTGCTTCTTCAGATAGAAGTTATAAACCAAGATGGAAATGAACACAGGGAATCAATCAATGATTGAATTCTGAAACTTTCTATTGGATCCATTGCAATGAGATTCAACAATATGGAATGTCATGAAAAAGAAAGAAACTACTAGAGAAGTAAAATATCAGCAAAGACCAAGTCATCCAAGAAATATGAGAACGGTAAATGACAGAAAAAAACAACAAATAAGAGCTAAAGAGATTACAGGTGATCTCCAGAGTGCAGGAGTGTAACTCAATTCACTTGGAGTAGAAAACTTCAACAGGAGAATTTCAAGGGATACTCTGCAAGATGCAAACTTCTTATTAGCCCTAAAGCCAGAAATGGCAGATGAGAAATTGCACAGAAGTGCAAAGATGATCCACAATAGTTTTGTGGACAGATACAGTATAAAGGTATGGAAAAGTGATGGAAAGAGGGGAACTGCACATACTGTAATCCTAAGCAGACCCCTCATCTGCGGAGCACAGTGGAGGCACTCTCATTAGCACAAGGGCTTGCATGGCTGCTGCTGGAGCTGCCTCACTGCTCTTTATTGATGAGGCAAGTGATGATGGCAGAATCATCCAAACCACCCTCTGCCACCCTCTCCAAACTGATCATAGATGCAATGATAAATGGAGCAGAATGGTCAATTCTAAACACTGGACTTTAATTTGTTGACTTACCATATACTGTAAAGGACATTGATGATTCCATATATTGGGCTTAGGGAAACACGGGAGATCGTCTGTCACAGACAGAGAGCAGACTGACTAGCAGGTGAGGACTGAAAGGAAAATGAACCAGCCTTTGGCAGCGTCTCTGTGACCAAACAGATTCTTATTTACATACAATGAACAACAATGGGACAATTCATGAAGTGCTCGATCAGTTAGAGGAAGAAAGGGCTGCAAATGTTTCAACTAGTAAGAGACAGGATCAATCCATCCCAGAAACTAGGACAACGAGGCAAAAGACATCATCTAAAGGTTTGTGGGAGTCTGGAACCCTACTACTGTATGTTGGTGAACCCCAGAAGTGGCTGGATGAAGTCTTTGCCCACAGCTGCTGCTAACTACCAAATGAACTGGGTGGACCTGAGGGCTTCCTGTTGTTTGTAATTTTTCTTATGATGTTGTTCTTAAAGATAGAGAAGGAAGGCACCAGAGAATTGAACATGCCACGCAACAGCTCTGCTCACCAATGTAAATCCCCACAGGAAAAGGAAGGGAACATGAAACACATCCTTTTGCAAAGCTGGGAGTACAGCACATGAGTAGAAACCCTTTTTTCTCAATAGAATATTTTATTGATTCTTCAACACTCTCACTTGAATGTATCCATCTTCACAAAGCAGACCTGAGGGCTGAGATCAGCTCCGATGGCAGGGAGAGTGCTCGTGTCCAAAGCTGTTGTTCAACGCAGCCTGGCAGTGCCCATTTCTTTGACTGACAGCAGGTCACCTGAGTGTTGCATGCGGGGACTGCAGCTGATGGGGCTGCCAGAGCTCTCAACCTGTAAAGATGCTTGTTGGAGAGCAGATTTAACCCTGTTGTCACTGGATTTCCCCATTCCAGCCCAGGCTACATGTCCTGATGCGAGCAGCACTCTCTAAGTGGCAGACAACCAACGTGACTGCAGCAGTGGGCACTGGGGACTTGAAGGAGATGAGATGTGGATGGCTCTCACATTAAAAGCAAACCAAGGGTGGCACTCGTGCCTCTATGCAATGGCCAAAGAGGCAAAGATGATTTAATCAGTGATCAATCATTACAAATTAAGTAGGTGTAAAATGAAAAAATCACCCTAAGTGATTAATTAATTACATATTTCTGATGTAATTAACTATGTCTTAATACAGAATGTCCTTTGAAACTAATGAAATGTATTTTAAGTCACAGTGTGCTCATGACCTATTCCCTTCCCGTTCCTCATGAAGTGCTCATGAACAGTCAACTACTGTATTGTAAACTGTTGTTACAGATGTCATTGCAGGTTCCTCTGCACCAGCAGCTGGCAAGCAGTGGCCACTGTATTCACCAGTGCGGGTATTCAGAATTCTCACAGGCAAAGTCAACTCCGCAGAATGAACAGCGGAACATGAACTGGGGACCACAAGTGGAAACTGCAGGGAAGTACATTTAAAACTGAGAACAAGAGACATTTCTTTACCCAAAGAGTTGTAGGAGGGTGGAACAGGCTGTCCAGCCATGTTGTTGAGGCTGGTACCCTGGTTTGATACCCTGAATAAGGTCACTGGATCAATTAACTACCATCAAATGGGCTAGACGAGCTGAATGGCCCCCTCTCTGATGTTCTTATTTTCACAGTTTACAGCCCAGCAAATACTGTAGATGAGGGAGAACGCAAGATGGTTCATAGATCCGACTCGGAAGAGGTGGAACAGAATCTCTCACAGGCAGAGCAAACCTTCACACAGTAGGCAGCGGATAACTCAGAGGCTTCCTTTCCTGGACCAAAGGAAGGGTTTGTCTGTTGCAAGCTGAGTGTCAAGAGCAAGCATCTACTGTATAATACAGAACATCTTCTATCGCACTGGCCTATTTAAACAAATAATGTGACTACAGTTTTTTGCTTGTATATCCCTGGTGGAAATTCAAGCAACAGCACAAATTGAGTATTAGCTCATTCTTAGTATGCAGATATTAAGAGCTGCAAAATTATCTTTATTCTGGAGGCCCGGAGCTGACTGACTTTCCTCATCTCCAGCCCTAGGCTTCTAGGTAACATTGTGTTGTACAATCGTCCCGCCTGACTTGGAACAGCATCTCCTGTGTCTCCTGTCCTCCGCCATCTAACATGCTTTACTGGAAGTGAAATCCGAGCCTGCGTGGCGAAAAGTCAGCTTTTCAAAGCGAAATCAGACATCAGCAGTTTAAAGCACGAATTACTTTCAAACGTATTTTCGGAGGGGATCTAATGTCGCTCTCATGGTCCCACCGCCACCGTGCGCACCTGGACTCCGCGAGCCCTGTGAAAGAACTTTAAATTTTAAATTTACAGGCACTCGGTGGCATCCCGTCACCACATCGCTAACAAAATAAATTAATAAATGACTAATAACAAGTAAATTCGTGATGTGCGACTTTTTGCTGTCGAAATCCCAGCATTTTGTCCCAGAAACAGGTGTATAGGAGCTTAATGGGACCGAGACGATTTTTGTCTCGGGCAGTGCAATTATCTATACTATAGTTATTCTAATACACATTGATTTTCACAGACAGGCTCGCCTGACCGGCCGCTGAGCCTCGGAGACACCTGCACGTCTTGCGATGAGTGTACAGAAGGCTCTTCGATCTGCAGCCCCAGATCACAAATTAAGGCACAGAAGCAGCGCATCTCAATCGCACGTGCGCGGGACAGAACACGCGTGCCTTTATACACGCCGCTCACGAGCGTATAAATGCCTTCTGGTCGACACAATATACACTCGAGTACCCCCGAGACAAAAGTGAGGGGAATCACATTGCAAAACGTGTGCAATTATTATTATTATTATTATTATTATTATTATTATTATTATTATTATTATTATTATAGCGCCTCTTCATGGAATATCAATAGCGTTACCAAGCAAATTGATTTTAAAACGTAGCTGTTAAAATTATAGCGTAACAAATCGATTACTGCAAAGACTTCCACTTCGTGGGAACCTGATACGTTCTCCGTCCTGGGAGAGATGCAGTAGATTTGATAAATGATGAACATATCTTGACTCCAGGCAATGCATACTGTACACGCACACCGAGAACTAGGAAAAGACAAATGTTTGTTTTACTGACTTATGATTTATTCTTTATTATTTTTGCGTTTTCTAATAGTTTTCTAATACTAATAGTATTCAAATTTAGAACGTTAAACAGCTTTAGCCCATAGCTGTGATTTATTTGAAATCAAACTTAATTTATAGGTTTATTATTTAAGCTGTCATACAAACGTGGTATTTTACATTTGTTTTAGATTCATTTAGCTCGATATCAATACTTCATTAATCACCGAAAACCAGCTCCAGCCCTAGAGATCCACTGACGCGCAGGTTCTAACACGTACAGTATCTTCTCACTAACAACAGGAAAGGAAAAGAAACGTTTATTTTGACTGCCTGAGCCGATGATTACTATAGTTCACTAATTGAACTTGTCATGAAACCCAGGAATTCCCTGTCCTCACTGAATGAGTTGTATCAACACCTAAATTAAAATAAATAACCAATCTTGCTTCTATTTCAACGAGTTATTATTGTTTGGGAGCCGGTCAGATTGCCCCCTTCACAGCTCTGTTTTGCGCGCTTCAGACTACCGGCTGTCAGGAACTGCTCGGTGTCCGGTTTGCGGAGCGGACAGGTGCGCAGTGTTCTGGTGACAAGAAACAGAAAACCGAAGAGTATAAAGCATCACCAAAATTAAATTTATCATTTGAACCCCATTTAAATGTATGCTTTATCGGCTTTATCACGGTAGTTTAACCGTGAGAAAAAAAGTACAGTATTTCGAATGCGCGGTACGACATCGGGAGGACAGCAATCAACTCAAGCTTCGTTTCACATTTTCACAACTCATCATACGGATTCGCTAAACAAAATCCAGGAGATAAAAAAAATCAACTGAGTCCGGGCTTCTTATTTCACCCAAAGTGCTGAAAGGATAAAGTAAGATCAACCCCGTCTTTAATTCACGCCAACACGGACAGGACAGGACATAAAAATCAAGTTTTCAACAAGACTACTCACCGATGAAAGCCAGCAGAAAAAGATAAATTCCCACAACGTCCATCCTGGCTTGCGAAAAATTCCTTTTAAAAATCCCAGGCGACTTTATGAATAGGTATATGTATTGATTTTTGGATTGTATTTTAAGACTGCGAAATACAGATCTTAATGTACTGCATGAGATCAGAATTGTGTTCCCTGAAATACGCCGACCCAACTCCCGAAGATCTGGATAGAGCAAGAATGTCTGAAGAACATAACCTCCCGTAACCAGTGAAGTCTTAGGATACTTTTTAAAAAGATAATCCTCCGCAGAAAATCAGTTTTCCTCTGAACAGCAACAGAGAAATTGCAGATACGCAAATATCAGAAAAAAGGGAAAAAGAAAAAGACGACAAAAACACTGTAGGAAATCAAAATGCAATAACAGTTTTGATTAAAAAAACTTATTTTATATTATGGAATCCAAAGATGCCGTCCGCAGCTTTGGGATTGTCGCAGTTTAACATCCATCTAATGAATGAGAATAGATCCCCTGTTTGTCCTCAGTCTGCCGGAGTTCTTGGACTTGTATAGCTCTCCTATATCTGGTGATGTCGGAAGCAAAGAAGAAGACGAGGCATCTTCACTTGTGTCCAGGCTGCTCTGAACATATAGAGAACCGACTCGGCTTTCTTAATCCCGACTACACTGATAGGAGACGCTGTTTAGAGCGCGCAAGAGAGAGAGAGCGAACTGGTGCCGGCAGGAGGAGAGAGAGAGAGAGGGGGGAGGGAGGACGGGACGGGGGTGATCGGGGAATGCTCAGGACTCAATTAAACATGAGTACGGACACACCCTAACCTTAAAAAGACGCCCTTGTTCGCTGAAATCCTGAAAACAAAAACATTCCTTCTGTATAAATGTTCTAGAAGACAGCGAGGAGATAGCACTGCAGGGTGAACCGGCTGGGAGATCTATGAGGACGAAATTAAAGCGACCAACTGCCCCGAGAATACCCAGCACTTTTCAGAAAATATGTCTAATATTGGGATGGGTAGAAGTGTCAGGGCTTCTGTCATTGCCCGTCGGTGTTTCCTTTCTTCTTACTGCAGTGAATTCTCTCCCCTTAAAATACAACCAGAACCTCTGTACATGGTTATGGTAATGCAGCCGTTCTCCGAAAATGTACAGGTACAGTATTCTTGAACACTGGAAATTGTCACTTGACTGTTTTCAGAAATTCCTGGAGCACTGTCACTCTGAAACACAATAATCACCAGCTTTCATCTCAGCAAAAGTGTACTGCTGAATTTACAGATCAATGTCTATCAATTTAAAGGCTGTTTGCACAAAATCCTGTACAGTTTTATAGTGTCTCAGTGAACCCAGTCACATGGTCACCCTTGTAACAATGGCAGCATGTTGTAGTGGTTTGATGGGTTTACTGTGACAATTATTAATTGTAGCAGTAATCACGAGGTTGTTCGTTAGGGATTTTAGAAAATCAATCGTCAGAACAACTAACAACACACACACACGGGTTCAATACACGGGATACATTTATTAATATAACTGTGCACCAAACATATACTAGTCTGCCTG